TTTCAGGCTAAATTACAGAAATGCACTTGGAGGTGAATGATGTATTTCATTCTTGGAACTTCCATAGCAAGTTAAAATTTGGGAATGAACAGCTAGATTCCTAGTGGACCTACGTGTTGTTTACAGGCTAGAAGTCAACAGTGCCCCTTACCCCCCTCTTTTTGGCTTTTGGCCCTGCTATCTTAACTGCATGGTCTACTTACAGTTAGCAGGGATTCATGAGAAGTTCAGGCATCATCTCTAACTGATATGAACTGGCTTTGGAAAAATGTAATGTATTCGCTGCTGTAGCTGGAATTTGAGTGGTGACTTCTCTGCTAATTGAGGACTACCCATGTGTACTGCGCATCTTCCTTTGGCTGCTATGTCTTCTCCTCTCTCCTTGCAAGGCCTAGCCCAAATCCCATGAGACAAATGGACTAGCATAAGTTTAACACACAGGGTGCTCGATTTTGCTCAGAGACTTCTTCATGTGGTTAAAATCTCTATTAGCAGATTAAGGATTTAGATTCAGTTCTGTGGGTGATTAAAGTAAACCTGCCTAGAGAACGGGGCTCTTGCCCCGAACTGAATCTCTTTAACTCAAAAATTAACATGTGTTATCAGAAATGATCTTTTGGTAAGTCAGTCCTTCTCCTCGACAATTCACTTCACCACAAATATTTACATTGATGAGATAATATCCACTGCCTCATAGCTGTATTTTTCTTTTTTATTTGAAAAAGCTAAATTTAGTGAGACAGTACACAAACTAGCTGGAACTGCGATACCACGTCCTGTAATCTTTCTGGCCTCATCCGCCCCCTCTTTGCTGCCCTTCCTCACTGTCCCAGTTCTGAGACCTGCATATCCTGGTGTGAATTTCTTCTGCCTGACCAGACACTAAGCTCCCATCCTCTGGCTGCACGTAGAGTTTAGTGTTAGGAAGAATACAGGCATAAATTAATCTTGCTTTTTGTTTGGTAAAATAAAAATAAAAAGTGATTTTTGTTTGTTTTTTTGTTTTTGTTTTGGTTTTTTTGTTCCCTGCTAGGTTTGAGTATTGGGGCTGTAAGCTCAAAGCTCATTTAGGTGAGAAAAATAGTTGAGGTTAAATTTCTGTCTATTGTAGATAAGTTATAGGACAATGAATAAATAAGGTAAAACTTCGAAAAACAGAGATATCGGTACTAATAATGTCATAACCCAATTTCCTAAACTGAAATTTCACACATCAGAAAGAGCTAAACTGACATGTTGATCTCGTCTAATAAGGCAAACACAGTGTTTGTTTCCTTTGTAAACCATTTACCCAGACATAATTTTGACAGTGGAAAAGAGGTAATATAAAAGACTTCATTAAAAACCATTTGTTTACTGATATTTTTCAACTATAGTTTACTTCGGAAAAAGAGGAACTCGACCATTAATTAAATAATACAATAAAGTCAATGTTCATTCACTAGAGTATGAATTATAACAAAGCATTTTTATTTATAGCAGGAAAATGACATGACTTAACAAAAAGATTGATGTACCTTTGTGTTATAAAGATGATAATAATTAATGAATTAATAAATACTATACATGAAGTGAAAACTTAAAATAAGACAGTATCATTATAAGAGGAATGATACTTCACAATAAAGGCAACAGGGGTGAGGGAAATGAAAGCACATTGTAATCATCCCTCTTTTTCTGATGCTAGGATAACATTTAGAGGTGATTTACAATTATATTTACCAAGATCTTTAATAATATTCTAACTCATAGAACTGCCAATATCTTAAAGGGGCTTTCGTTATTCCTTTGTACAATTGTAGATATAAGACTCACTATAATAACAACTTTCCTATTGATTCAGGTGAGGAAGACTGGGATCTATTGCTTTTCTGGTGAAGGCAGTGATGATATCTGGTATTATTAGTAGCAATAATTAGAGAGTATGGTCATTTGAAGCACAGACAGAGTCATAAAACTCACTGTTTTACAAATATTACTGTAAAGCCCTGTTTGCATTCCATGTAGCTAAATTGGTATCTTTTGCTGCTGCTTTGATCATTTGTAGTCATACTCTTGGTACTTTTTTTTTTTAAGTATTCATAAAAATATAACTTTTTTTTTTAATTAAGGACACTGTGATCTAGAGTGATCACAGCTGTTTTTACTTTCCAGAGTGAAATTTTATTACCACTAGTCTTTTTGACTAAGAAAAACTGGTCTGTTTATTCCCTTAGATAGTTTATTCCACAGAGGTTATTTTAACCTCAGGTTATTAGCCCATCTGCAAAGTAATTTAGTGAGCAAAAATGCCTCTGAAATCCATATTCATGTTTAGGAAGATTTCATTGTAACAGACACTTGTACCAATTTACAGCATAACCCCATCCAACAACACTGATATAACATAATTGGTCTGACTTGAAAACACAAAGCAAGGACGTGAAGTGTTGCAGGCTTTCGTGTTAACCTTAACTTACCGCATTACAGCCTCCCTGGGTAATGCGTACACTGGAAAGTAAGCTCAACGTAACAGTGCAGGTTTTAGGCCCGAACAAATTTCTAGGCATCTTTCATAGCGTTCACATGGGATTAAACAGGGGGAGTTTGTCCCCGTTGCTCAGAGCGCTCCGTGGTGGAGGAGCCGGGGTGGTGCAGAGCTGTGTGTTTGCAGGTAGCAGAAGGGCGCTTGTCTTGCCGATACCCTGAATGTGCATCCCATCCTTTCTGGAATGGGAGAGGGGCACATACCAATGCTTGCCTTCCGCTTCATATAAACCTGGAGCGGCAAACAAATCCAGACTGCAACAACAACAACAGACTAAACCAACTGCACGTGCACTGAGTGCCAGAGGAGTCCAAGTCCTTGTTACCTGCATTTTTGTAGAATACTAGAAATTAGAGTTGATGGAAACCTATAAAATACACTATTCCATCTTTTTGCAAATGTTCTCTACATCTTCTGCTATTTTCTGCATGTCAGCTTAAAATGCCATGACAGTTTTCCTGGAGGAGACTGGGCTATGGAAAATTTTCCTCACTATCAAGAAACAATTTCCTCATTCTTTGTCTAAATTTCAATGTCCTCTTTTCATCTCGTTACATGCTTCCAAGATTTCTTGATTCCTTTTGTTGACTGAATAATGTTGCCCTTCTTTGATAAAGTATTTGCAGGCTTAGCCTATTGTTTTGGGCTCTTTTTCAAAGAAAGCAAGCTGACCCCATTTGAAAAGACTGGGTGCACCATAGGTTATACGACTGGCTGTTCCGTGTGGCACAGACCGGTCATTTCATGGAGTTGTGGGGATGAAACTTTCTGAGCCTACCTCCTACCCCTACCTCCTACCCAGGGAGAGTGATCTAGTCAAACGATAACCCTATTTTTTTAAAAAGTCTTGTAGTCCTGGAGTATTGACAGTTGAATTTTTTTCCTATTTCAATATTTATTTTTGCTAATGAAGGCTCTTTTTACTTGATTGCTTTTACAAATGTTGATTAATTCAACTTCACAACATCCTTGTAAATTTGAGTATCAATACTGCAAGTTTTGCTTTGTTATTAAAATCTGGAAAGGTTATGGCTCTTGTCAGAGGCCAGAGAGGAAGTCTAAGGCAGAGCTGGGGAAAAAAACCCCAAACCCTGCTCTCCTAGTGGTTTAGCCACAAGAACATCCTTCTGTTTTGAATAGCATAGTTTTTCTGTTTAAAAAAAAAAAATTAAAAAAAGGGAACAAAGACATACAGGACTGTCAGTTTTAGAGGAGCTGAACCGTGGTGGTTTTATGGTTTGGCAAATGGAGAATATAATTGCAATTCCAGGACTAAAAAAACGCCAGAGACTATGGCTGCAGAGTACTTGACTAGGATTTTTTACTCTACTTCTTTTAACCTAAATGGATCCTTTTCTGCCCATCTCAAAAGCACCCTGGAGAATACGCATTTTTTTAGCCTTTAGTAACAACATCAGAGAAATTCAGTGAGCAATCTTTGGAAAGCTGATTATGTGGTTGATGCTGGACTGGGTACCGTAACTTCTGCTATTAAGTCTATTTTCTTTATCAGCAATGTCATTTTTTAAGGTAAAATGGCTTAAGAACAATAGAGCAAAAAAGATGCATCAAGCTTGATTAATTACATTATGTGGATATTACTCCATATCTTACCCAAAAGGGACTTATTAGTGCCATATATTGTTAGCCGGAGTAGTTTCCTTGTTGTCTGGGATGTACAATAACCTAATCTATAAAGGCTAGTCTAAACTAGAAAGGCTTTGCCAGAACTGCTGCACAGGCAAAGTCCCTGGAGAAACAGTTTATATGGCAAATGATGATTATTTTGCTTTAAACTAACTCCCAGGAACATGAATGATACTGGCCAACAAATCTGCTGTTAGTATTGTTTGCATCTGTACAGAGTAGCTGGAGAGGCAGAGCTACGTTTGGGGATGTGAGATTGTAGTAGACTGACATTGCTGAAGGAGTGAACTTGGGAGTGCAGAGCTAGCCTACAGACTTGAGTTCTTTCTGGCTGCCGCACAAGCCAGGAGCTAGCAACGATAATTTGTGCGGAGAAAGGCGATGGTCCCTCTTAGAGGGATGATGCACGCTCATGTCTAGTTGTTGTCCTTTCCACCTTTATCAGTATAAAATCATAGGTGAACAAACCATAAAACTTTACCTTTAAACACAATGGCTTTTCAAGATGTTTTGCGAAGTAAGCAATTAAAAAAATCCAGTTGATGTATGTGCATTTGTGTTTTGATCTCTTGTATATATGTGATACAACGGACTGTTTTTAAGCAGTTTAATTATATTTAAAATTGTATATCTCATATAAAAACCTTACTGCTAAATTAACACACCTCAAAAGTGTTAATATCATACTAACTGGGAGTAATGAACTCTTTCAGAGTAATACTAGCAGCAGCACTACAATGTGTCACTTGATCTATTTTGATCTTTATCTGATAACTGTCTCCATTTCTGAAAAGTAAGGATATATTCATAGTTATTTTTTCCTTTCCAGAAACCAGGATATAAACCTGAATGTGTGGATTTGTGTGGTGCTCGCATTGAGTGGACCCCAGAGAAATCTAGCAGAAAGAATGTCTTTCAGGTAAGAGGCAATGCATGCATTCCATTGCTCATTTGAGTATATAGTCTCTTAAGCTAAGAGGTAGGTTTTATTTCCTTCTTTGGATATTTTAATAACCACAGGCTGATTTAATACAGCATTTTTCTTACCGATATAGGAGTGTAACATTTTATCAAGCATCAGTTTACTATTTTTCTAGGAGAAGGATTTCTGATGACTGAATCTCCTTAAACACTTGAGAACCTGTTGATTTATTGATTAATGTTCTATATTCAATTTGTTTTTAAAACTTAGTAGGTAATTGCTTTGGGTTCAGGCCTAGAATCCTGACCTAAAGAACTTCCATAAACACAAATTCTTCAAAATGCTTATACAAGCATTGCTCCAACGTAGTGTGGTTACTCTGTTTATTTTTATTGCTGTTAAGGGTGCTCAGACGGTGATGCCCTAGGTTCATTTCTGGAAGGGGAGGGGAAGACTGTAAGATCTTGCCTCTGCCAGGGCCAAAATAGAAGGATAAATGTTTCTCATATGCCTATTCTTTGTTGATGAATAATAACCTTATTTAACTATTTCATCTAAATTCCATTGTATCGAATGGGAGGATCAAGGCCTTAAAGGATGAAAGGATGGAGAAAGCATTATTGCAGGGTTAACCTTCCAGCATCTAGGGGCTGAAAAACGTTTATTGCAACATTTTTAATCTTTGAACGTAACCCAGCTCCCACGAATATCAGTGGAAAGTTTTTTTGTTGTTGTTGTTTGTTTGTTTCACTAGAAGTTGCATCAAGCCAGTTAAAAATAATATTTCCAACGAATTATGTGAGTTGTTACCCAGAGTTCTAACACACAGAATTGTTAACAATATAAACTTAACTTTGTTGGTGAAGGGAGGGAGAGACGTGGAAAGGAATATGCCAAGTACAAGGTATCTTTAACTATCAGATAGTCCTTTTGCATTATCACCAACTGGAACATGCTGGAGGAACCACCAGTTTGTTCTAAACTGCGGCTGGGTCTGGGACTGTAAAAATACAAACAAACAAACAAACAAACATCCCCCAAACCAAGGAGGTTATCTGTGGGGGTCAAATGAGTGTTTATGGAGACTTTTTTAAGGTTTATTTTTCTAGATATGTTTTTAAAGCACATGCAATATTTAGAAACGTTCCCTGGCTTCAAGTCAGTGAGACTTAGGCTTCTATCCCCCCACATCCTTTAGGTTGTCTTGAAACAACACTTGGAGCTTTGTCATTTCCTAGGTATTTTTAGAATAAATATTTTGGTATTGCTGTCAATCTTCAGCTTTTTCACTTGGAAAGTGATTAAGTATAACCTTAGCCTTCAGTCCCGCAACCTCTTGTGCGCACTGACAGATCTTCTGAGCTTTTAGGGTTTATTTCTCATTGCACGTTAGGCAAAATTTCTATTTGGAAATGCATATTAAAATGATGATTCATTGAAACTATTATGTTTCCAATGTAAAGAAAATGAAAACCTATGTTATTGATTTACCAAAACTGGTTGTATGAGGACTTTGCAATATATTTTCTTCTCACTTCTATTAGTGTGAGGTGTAACTCCACTGAATCAGAATAATGTGAGAAAGGAAACTCATGCACTACTGTTTGAACCCATTAAAACGTGTCTTCATCAAGCCAATAAGTGAGTGGGAGAGAGACTAAGAAGTAAAAGCATGGGAGGAAGGACATATGTTAAGACACATTTTGAAAAGGGATGGATGGAGCATTGTTTAGACAGAGAGCTATGAGAAGATGATGCCAGATGGCAAGAGTGAAAGAGGAGAAGGCTTTGGCATCAATAGTGGTGACATTTTGGGAGAGGAAAGGACTGAAGGAGACTGGTGCTACATGAGCAGATAGAGTGGGAAGGGAAATAAAGAGAGAGAGAGCACAGATTTATGAGATAGCCTGGAGAGACTCCAAGATGAGCTCTAAAGCTAAGAGGTCAGTTTGTACCTGTATACTGAGTATTTCAGGAAACGCTTCTGATGCTCTACTTATGTATATGGATGCGAATAATATTGATAATATATATGTGTATTTGTTTACAGATTTGTTCAAATGAAAAGAATGTGGGTGGGTTTTTTTCTTTTTTCTTTTGCAACCTAAATATAGATGCTTTGCATTGCTATTACGTAAATACATTAGCTGCTGAACTCTGAAATTATCAGAAGTGAGTAGGTTTATATCTCCAAAGCATGACAACAAAGCATGGTTGGTGGAGTTTTGTTTCATTAGTTTCTGAGTAATAAGACTTTCTTTTCTGCTTCAAACAGAGCAGTGGTTGCTTTCTGCTAATATGTTGTACTAGAACTAGATGCAGAATTTTGAGTTTGATTTAGCCTGGGTGCTCAATTTGAGTTCATGAATTATAGATTAGAAATAGAAAATGACTGTTGAGATTTTGGGTTGAAAAAAAAGCAGGAAATCTTAATTTTAAAATCTAAGCATATGACAGTTAACGGGTGGTAACAAGAAGATGGAGTATAGGAGCATCATGAAGAAAATTAATTGGAAACATGATCGATGCAGGGAATAAAAAGAGGAAACTGCAAGTAAATGAAATTCAGGCAGGATGATTTGGGTTTCTGGTCTTGATCATGAGGTTTCAGCACTGTTACTCCATTCATTTTAATTGAGCTACTCCCTGTTTAGCAGGATAAGTCTGATCTGTCTCACATACTGTCCAATTTGTGCATGCAATCTATTTTGTTTCTTGTTGAACATTTTGGGTTTTTTCAAGTTTTCTTTAACAGTAGCCTAAAATATATACATCTTACAAAATATAACCTTTTGATTTCCCTTCATTTATTTCAATGATGATATAGCTAACATTGCGAAAAAGAACTACTTTGAAACAGCTTCCCGCAGTGTGGGGAAACGTAGCAGTTTGCTGTGAGCTACTGCGCTATTTGTTCTCTCTGGCTAAATGACGTGATACACTAGGTCTTCATCACAGGAGTGGTGAATAAAAGAAGATTTATGTTCAAATCACATGCTTTAAATATTTCTGCTAAGTGCTAGTTTGCTCTTTGGTGTTTAGCCTGAAATTTAAAGCACTGAGGATTAAAAGGATTACAACATAATCTTAAATAATCCTAAGTGTCATTTACAGAGAGATGGTTGTAATAACTAAATAAAACCATGTTAAGGGATGGCAGTGTTGTCAGTCAGCAACTGCAACAGAAACGGTGCCTATGCCACTGTCATTCTCCTCTTTCCTTTATTTAGTTCAGTTTTATATTGGATAGATGGGTTTTGATGTGAGTTACAAATGAAGAAAATAATAAAATGATGGCTACTTCGCGGGGAATACTAAACTGGTTGCTGCTGCATTGATAACTAGTTTACAGATTTTCTCAATACTCAATATCTGCCTCTAGTAAACTTTTCATTTGGAGTTGATTCTTTCCCCTGCTTTAAGCAACCTGGCTTGTAAGTCAAGGAGCCCTTTTTCATTTCAAATTCCACCAAGACCATATAGAAGATGTTCTTCTGACCTATGGCTGCCCAATTCAAAAGCTTCATTAGCACAAAATCTTATGGCTACACAGTACTTCCTTTTTTTAGGAAGGTTTAGGAAGATTTCTTTTGTGTGATTCTAAAAAGAAAAGGAAGAAAAAAAAAAGGAGATGAAGAGTAGGCGGGGGGAGGTCAGCAGCAGCATGCTTGTGAATTGAGGAAGCAGATTTGTTCTCTTAATAGCACTATTCATTTAACTATCACATTTTTTATTACTATTTGTAATTCCAAGGAGGATTTTCTGGAGCCTGATGCCCTGACTCTTGCCACAGTTCTAGTGTGATACTGGTTTTTATCTCAGTAAACTGCAGCTGTTAGGGGTTACTCATTTATGCACAAATAAGAATTGTAAATACATTTTTGTGTCTCCCTATGAGATACTCAGTGTTCCAACAGTGTGACATGTGAAAGTACAACTGTACCTATGCCTTACATGAAATTTATTTTCCAGTGATTTCATATATACTGCATGTTTTCCATAGCATTTATGATGCTGATACAGGATAACTCCCTTATCCTTGAAGTTCCTCAAGCTTTAAAAGCATAATCTGAATGACAAACTCTTTTATTCTATATACTGCAGGATCACTGTAGGATCTCGAAGCCTCGCCAAAATGGTTAAGTCATCAGCTTTTGCCATAGGAGGGTCATTTTCTTTTTCATGATCTCTCTAGAGGGAAGCATTGAGAGTGCCCTGTGGAGTGTTTTGGAAATGTCAGAGATATTTGGATTTCTTTTTATGTTTTTAAATGGAAAGGCTGCATTGAGGAGGTAAATCTAAGAAACAGCTTGCACTTGGATGGATGTGTAGCTCCTGGTAGTCACTGTGGTCAGCTGGAATTTGGTCTATGCTCTAAACTGGCCCAGAGAAAGCTTGCGTCTTCAGACTTTGAGTGTTTTTGTCTTCAGTTAGTAGACTAATCTTTGCTGGCTTTGAATTAGGTCTGCATTAGACTGACCTGCTCCTGTTTTAAAATCTGTATAGCATTTTGTCTGCTTCTCGAGGTTACCACTATGTTTTTGGTTTAATTTCTTTAACCAGGGACTTGAATTTATCATTGCTTAATTAAAAGAAGTAGCCGAGCTGCATCACGCAATTTTTAGATAATGTCAGTAAGAGATACTCTAAACAATAAACTGATAATTAGTTTAAAATAGGCGCAAGAAATGGTCTTAATCATCATTCTCTTAAAGTTGTTCAAGTGTATATTTTCAGGCAAGTAAACTATTCCTATTACTATGACTAAGAGCTCTTGAATAGGGCAATTTGGACTGATCTCCGTATTGTATTTTGGATTTTCCCATTGTCTTGGTATTGACCTTACCGTATAAGTCACGGCCAAAATGTTCAGTAAAACCTAAGGGATGGATGCAAACAAACTCCTGACTTCTCCATGTATCAGCTCTTTTCTTTTGTAACTGAAGTACAAAAAAAGTGTGAATCTTTTTATTTTATTGAACTTACCTATCTTTGTT